CTCCTTGTCCTCTTTCAAAATTAATAGGAGAACGAAATTCACATGCCTCAGCACAATTTTATTAGAAGAAGCAATATATAGTTTAACAATATGGACGATAAAATAAATGCATTTTTATTATGAGTAAACAATTTTATTAATTTTGAAAGACGGAATTAGATGGAGCGTGTAGTGTAACCTCTCATCTACCACAACTACCACCGTCCAACAACCAACACTATGGCCCTATTTATTTTCCATTTCTGTAAAAATGAGAATAAAATTTATAGTCGTTACGAGCTCCACACAAGAAATAGAAATTCAAATTTTGTGATTTGATGTGATAGATAACGGTCATATTTTTCATTTTAACGAGAAAGAATGAGAAACAAATGAGGGCTATTTATTTTTTATTTTTATTTCAAAATCTTGCACGAAATAAGATTTTTCCGTTCATTACTTATTTGCATAGTTTGTCCTATTTACATATGAGGGTGTTAAAATTAGAATTTTTTTGGTAAATTGTGATAGAAGTTTTTGAAATATGTGGTTGAAAAATTGTAGGACCCATGAAAAATATGGTTAATATTAATTGTTTTGATTTTAATTTAGATTAAAATCAGATTTTAATCCAAACCAAACAAGGAGATAATTTCACCAACTTCTTTTATTTTAGCTGTCCAAGTCTCAAAATTCTGGCTCCGACACTATCATCGTCTCATGTACTTGTTCAGATGCAAACTTGAAAAACTCCCCATTTCACCCATGAGATCAAACATGCACATTTTAGCCGATGGTTGACGAACAATCAACCCATTTTCTAGGATATGTTGGATTGAACACGAAAATAATAGTTTATGCACGTGTGCTATGTGCGTGTGTTTGCCACCTAAGTGTTCGTGCAATTGGTGGTCCAACCATACTAGTGCCTTTAATAAGCACCATACTTCTCAAAGTACATTAGGTATAGTTTCTATTAAGCTCTCGTTAGGCCCCATTTCAAACTCATCAATTTAATTAAAAATTTTCTCTCTCCTATTTTCAACCATATAATTTTTAATAAAATAATATTTTACACAAATCGAAAAGTTTTCATTATTTTATAACATCCATTTAAAAAAAACACTATTCCCCCATTATAAATCCAAATAATGGGGGCCAAATGGGGCTAAAGTGAATGGTTGTACCATCTTTTTAGTTAGACCTATCTTAGGGACCTAATAGATTTTCGTAAAAGAAGCTTGAGAACACAAGTACAATTTATTGAATTTTATCTTAAAATGTCAATTTTGTTGATAAATGTAAACTAAAATTTTATATATTGTTTATTATTTCGATAATTTATCAATTAGAATTTCATCCACAACATATCCTAAAAGACTGTGACTCATTTAAGAACACTAATATTTTTAAAATCGCATGTTATTCTGAGCTTCAAACAAATTTAATTGTTCGCTTCAGCTTGTTCGGATTTATATGATATTTTGATTCTTGATATTTTATTTTAAAATGTCAACATTATTAAAAATGTAATCGAAGTCATTATAAATTATTTATTTGTTCAGTTGAATGGGTAAAATTACCCTTTGCACAATCTTGGTCAACTCTTGGCCCATTGTGTTAAATCATCATTATTGAACCTAACATTCAAATATTGGATTTATAAACAAATTGCACAAGCTCTTAACTAGTTAAACAATTAATTTAGTCAATTCTTAATATTATGAAATCTATTTTCATGATTAGCAAATTACACACGATCTTAAACTTGTTAATCCTTTGTTTGAGCCCCATTCTCTTTATAACAATGAATTTTTGAATAGTGTATTGATGAAAAATGTGTGGTTAAAAAATAAGGAAATATTTTGGATTTGCGTCTAATATTATTTTATTCAAGAAAGTGTGGTTGAAATAATATCAAAATACTGTTTAAAATATATATATATATATATATACAAAAAATGAGCTGAAACAGGGGCTAAATAATTAATTTAATCCATTATTAAGATTATACAATCTCAACAATCTATCATTTTAAATTTAGTGGGTGTATTCTGTTACCTTTTAAAAATTCTACTTATTTCTTCTTCCTTGACGTTACATATTCCACTAGCTAGTTGTTTACTAGATAAGACTTCTAGATATGGGTCCAAAATAGAAGCAAAACTTTATGTTAAATTCATTCTGATCTAGGTTAGTCATTAGAATTAAACTTAATTATAAATAGTCATTTAGCTTAACTATTTGTTACAATTTGGTCCATGTCCTTAGTTTGATTAACATAAAAGCAGTGTATAAACGGTAAATGATTGGAATAGAACGGCAAGTTTTATGTTTACAAAACGTACATGAACGAATAGACCAAATTGTAATTGAAATTTCGGGATTTAATCCTCCACAAACACAAAGTTTGGTTCATAATTTACGTCACATGAATCTCAACATGTTTATTGGTTTGATTCGAGGTGCTGTAACTCGAGCTCAAATATATATTAAGACATCCTAGGAAAGTTCGACACTCGAACGAAAGGGGAGAAAGAAATAATATTTTTTTTTGAATAAAATGAAAGAAGAAGTGTCTATGGCGCATAAATTGAAAACAATTAAATTCTTCACCTAATCTACAAACCCACATTAGCAATAAGTTGGATTTGTGAAATAGAAGAAAAATTAGAAAGAATTCTCCGGCCGCAAACGTTGTCGGCCACAAAACATGTGTCCACACGGGGAAACCGTGAAGAAACTCACAAGCCACAATTCTCGATACACATATTTAGTGGACACGTGCTCGTTATAATTGCCGCATAGAAATGTTAAGGATTTATTTATCTTCTAAGTATTTATAAACATCGACTATTATAAAATAGAATTAAACTACTGCAACAGAAAATGGGTGACAGAAATATTGACACCTTCTCACGTGTATGTGGATCCCGCGCGAATAAAAAATTTCCAAAAAAAGTGGGCCCCACCCGGACTGTGAGTGATCTGTCAGAGTGTATGTCATCCATTTTCTGTTAGTGTAGCAGAATTCTATAAAATATGTGAATAATAAATGGATCAAAGTAAGTAAAAGTCATAGATTCTATTAGATGTATAAATAAAAATAAAAGTCGAGCAACTTATAAATAAATTATAAACTTTAGCATACATGCACTTATTATATTGATGACAATTTGTTATATTGAGATAATTGTTGTCATGATCCCAAATCTTTTAATTTGTTACAATTTCTACACTAAAATTTTATTTGTTGTAGAATCGATCCCAAATCTTTCATTTTCAAGCAACGGAAGCACTTCTAGATAGTATTCCATCTAAATGTCAGTTAATTGACAAAAAACCATATTTTAATTCATAGTGAAAGGGGCAAATTAAAAAGTAACATTAAACTTTTTCCACATAGAATAATCATATTATTGAGAGAGAGAGAGAGAGAGAGAGAGAGAGAGAGAGAGAGAGAGATTTTCTCCCTCAACCCTGCAACAATTGAAAGTTTAGGATTAGGATAAAATTTGAACTTGAATGCAAACAATTTAATGATTTTGAGAATTGTATTGATTTGTCTAATTCTAATTATCTATGGAAAAAAGAAATTAAGATAAGTGAATTAAAGATTGCCCTAAGTAAATTAAAGATTAATATTCTTTAAATACTAATTTTCTCTCTTGATATAAATAAATCATCTACTATCTGACCGTATCTCCACGAAGGATGAAAACAAATTAGGATAAGTGAATTAAAAATTTACGTGCAATATTATTTTATTTAAAAATGTGTGATTGAAATGATGTCAGATTATTATTTAAGAATGTATTTTTTTTTTAAAAATACAGCTCCAACACGACCTTAATCTTGTATCTCTTTAATGATTCTGGATGACACCTTTCTTTTCAAAATCATTCAAAGCCTCTAAGAAGTTTTTGTAATTTTGCTCCCAATAATTTGTTGTGGAATTCACCTCTATGCCTTTTTATTTCGTAATATGGAATATTTGACCTAATTTTTCTCTTTACATAGCCCTTGATCTTTCTAGAAAGTCATGCCAGTGACATGCCCAAAAGGGATTAAAATTTCGGAATCCTATCAGCTTAGAAGCCGACTTTGACTGCAGTAACATGCATTGTTACGGTCAATTGGTCCATAAAGTGCAAAATTGCACCAAAAATTGCTATGTTGCAACCGTAGTCTCAAACTTTATTGAATTGCCTATTTTACGTCTCAACTTTAATTCTTGTGAAATTGTGTGTGATTTTACTATTAGCTGTGAGTTGTCATCGCATGATGAACCATATTCATATATTTAATAAGTTTTAAGTTTTGACGGGAGGAATAATTTTAATATTTGGTGAAGACTTTACAAGGGCATTGAAGGGTAAGAAACTAGAAGGGATGAAAGATAAAAATTGGGAAGAATTGACAGGCATTGAGTATCCTCAGATTGTCTTTCTTTTGAGGTCAAAATAGTATTTTGAGAAGGTGATTGAGTTCTTTTGGCAACTTTTGAGAGTAGTCGTGGTAGAGGAGACTCCACGATAAAAGATTTATGAACAGAGAGATGATCGTTCACACGATATACACGTAAAGACAACCCATGTAAGTATATAACAAATGAAATTTAAAAGGAAGAAGAAATAAATTTATTTTGATAAGTAAGACTTAAACGTAATTCTCAATGTGTATGACACAAGTAACGAATGTCGTACTTTTAATAAAGTGAGATAGCGTGTCTCATTTAAGCAATAGTCCATCTCATTGCGATGGTACACACCAAGCAAATGTAATCTACTCTACGCGCTATTTTCTAACTCGCTAATACGATATAGCAAATTTCTAACCAATTGTTGGGTTTTGGAGGTCTCCCGCTCAACAAGTGGCACGAATTATGCTAGGGTATAACTGTCAAATTATAGAAATAAATATCATCTTTCAAATTGATAGCACAGGTAATGTGTACCAATCAATTTTATATACTCTGCATAGTGTTTGCTCATTTTTAACTCGTGTTTCTTGCACCTTTGTACTTTATTAACTAGGACCCTACCAATTTTCATAATTTCACCTGGACCATGCTCTTCAACTTCTCCTCATTTTCCTTTTCCCATTCTTTACTCCAAGGCAATCTAAACGTGCTTAAATCCCCATTAAACAAAATATACCACCATAAATTCACCGTTTGATCAAATTCATAGTACAAGAAATTTGATAAAACATGTCGAACTTCCAAGATTTTTCCGACAGGAAAAGGGCACGTAAGGCGCCGGAGAAATCGAACTTCGTTCATACTTGCAATCTATTGAGTCAATTTATCAAGGAGAAAGGTAGTTTAAGAGATTTGAATTTTGAAATTGGTGATAGAGTGGAAAGCCTTGAATCCATAGGTAAAGTTTCTTCTTTTTTCTTCGTGTTTTTTAAAGAGATCGAGATGTAATCAAGAAAATAATTGTATGATTTGGTTGTTTTCAGTGAAAGCAGATAAATATCAAGTTGCAGCGTCTACAAGAACGAAATCCTTGACCAATATGGAAAACCCAGTTCAAGAATCGACAAAACAATATCCGTCAATGGATCCTATTCCCCGACGAGGCATGCCGGGGTCATCGAGTAATTTACAAGATTCCTCAAATAAAGCTGCTAAAAGGTTTTTTTGCTTCACATTTTTTAGTTTTTTTATTCTTATATAGTGCTATATTTTGACTCACTCTGGTAATTAATCAATTGAATAAAAAGTGGCAAAAACGAACTTTTATAGTCGACTCCAAATTTATTAAGAAAAAATGAACGAACTTTTCGAGCTCTTTTTGGAAGGGGCTATGTAATGAATGAAATTCTTCATGAATTGCGCAGACAGGCAGCAACAATGGAGTCCAAGAATGCCCAGCTGACTATCTTTTACGCTGGTAGAGTTTTGGTATTTGATGATTATCCACCGGAGAAAGTTACAGAACTAGCGGAATTTGCAAGCAAGGAAAGCTCTAAGGAACCGGAAGGCATATCATCGAACCACCACGTTAAAGAAAAAGTAAACATGGGGACTTTAACTGCGCGAGAACAGCTTCCTCCAAGGCCTGATGCCTCAGTTTCTCGTAAAGATAAACGCGTTTTGCCCAATTCCGGCGAAGAAGAGCAAGATCTGCTCCCGCCCCGACACGAAGCTAGTGGTTCTCATAAGGCTAAAGGCATTTTGCTGAATTCAGAGATAGAGAAAATGAACACTGGTGGTGCTGTGGGCTCTTCCTATAAGCAAAAAGAAGTGCTTTCACCACAACTTGAAGCCAGTGGCTCTGGTAATAGCTTTTGATAAAAATAATTTACTTTTTTTTCCTTACAAAGATTCAATCATGGTTTACTTATGGAGTTTTGGTGTTTCAGATTTGCCAATTGCAAGAAGATCATCACTTCATAGGTTTCTTGAGAAGAGAAAAGACAGGTAAGCAACCTCACATAATGCATTTCTAATGGAAAAAATTCTTAAAAGATAATTTTACTTCAAGGCTATGTTTATAATATGTAACAATATGTTCCCCGAGCTTAAGCACCTTTCATGAGAACGACGCACTCTCGTCACGGTGGCACGGTATGCCTTCGTTGATCTGCTCTGACAATACAGATGAATGTCTCTTTCTCCCCCTTCAGTCGAACCACTTTATGGTTCAATGCTTGTCTGTACTCCTTTCAGCAGGCAGCTATTGAGATAAGTTTCTTTTTGACGTGCTGCTAGCTTCCTTTATTTATATCCATGCCACGTTTGGGTCGGTACTTTGGTCTGGACATCCCCCACATGATTGGAGATGGAAGGATTGCCTCTCCCTTCTAGGGAGGCTTATTTATCGTAAATTGACGGACGAGATAGCTTTGTCACCAACACCTTCTCCCATTTGTTTATTGGATCCCGCAAGAACCATGTGAGGCTTGGCGGTCGCATCTGGTGGACATGGTCGGGAACATGTCGTTACATAATATTTGAGCTATTAACTTGACATTCTCTGCTTCCCTTTTTGTTGGTTCAGGACTGTAAAGGAGCAAAACCAAATTCAAGAGCTGCAGCCTGCATATTCTTCCAAGCCCGACGAGCAGCTTGAGCTCAAATTATAGATACATTGTGCTACTAGGATTAATCTGGCTTATACTTATTGAATTCTGAATGATTTTTGTTCACAATTTTTTAACACTCATTGTTAGGTTATTTTCGATAGAACTTGGTAGTTTTATTTTGTTAGATTATGGTGTCCAAGTTTGTAACTTAACCGAAATTGTTGGTTCCATATGAACTATATTTCTGTAATGGTTGTACGATTCTTCAATCATTGTTCTTAAGTTCCAAGGAAATCCCATCGAGATTGAATTAGCACTGCTCAAATCTATGTACGCCTCTTTGTATCTGATTTTAGCCAAAGCGAGCATCTATGGAGGTGAGGATGTGGTGTTTGAGGTAGAGTCCACCAATTAGCCCTCCTATGGCCCCCATTAAATTAATAGGGTGTATTTAATTGAGACTTTTAACGACTAATTGGAATTTAAAAAGTTTGGGAATATTCAATTGAGATTTTTTGATAATCTCTAAAGGTTTTGATGTGTTCAATTGAGATTTTTATAAAGTTTTAAGAAATTTCTAAAAATCACGATGTATTCAATTGTTACTTTTATATATTTTTAAAAAATCTCTTAAAATTGCGGTGTATTCAATTTATTTTTTTAAAAGTCCCTATAATTCTTAGGGTATTCAAATTTTAATGACTCCTGGAGGCTTTTACAAAAGTCTCTGAAGTACTAACTTATAAGCAGAAAGTACTCATATAGAATTTTAAAAAATTTTGTCTTTCATTAATCACAAGTTTTTAGAAACTTCTACTAATTCCATACAAATCTTCAAAAAAAATCACGAAACCCCCACGAGTCATCACTTAAAAAAAAGTTTATCAAAATCTTCAAAAGTTCCAATTGAATATGTCCCTCTAAATTTTTTTTTTCTTTTTCTTATTTTCAATCTCACAATTTTTTATAAAATAATATTTTACGTAAATCTAAATTTTTTTCTCCTTTTTGAAAATCTATCAACCAAAAAAGTACTAACGCATCCATTAAAATTTGAAATTATGGCCCCCCGAAGAAAAAGAGTACGCGTCGGTTTGGCCCCCCCATTAAAATCACATTTTGCATTCTCATTCTCTATTCACGGGGACCACTATGTTTGTATTTAGCATAAATTGATGACCTCCAACTGGCCCACTATTGACTTCAGTACAAAAAATCCCACAAAACAAATCTTGAATCCTTGATTTTCGTTTTTGCCTCCTATTGACTTTCAGTACAGGATGGTGTGAGGGTGTTTGCGTAATTTTCACCGACCGAATGAGGGTAAAATGGTACGTTGAATTTCCAACAGCTCTGATTCAATTTTGACAATCAAGTGTACCTTTCTATTTTTAAAATATTTGTGTTACCTTTCTATTTTTAAAATATTTGTGTTCCTGTGGCAAAATATGACAAGGCGGGAAAATCTCGTTAAGATGAGATTCATACAGAGGTTTATATTTGTGAAGTCCATCTGCATTTCACTCTCTTCTTCTTCATTATCACTATCACTATCACAATCGAAGCAATTTGGGTAGTAGACTTCTAGGATTAACTCATCTCTCAAATATTTTAGATTTACTTCTCGATCACATTGTCTATATGGCATAAATTTTCTCTATATACGCTTTGCTGTAAATGAGCCAAAGAACATAATTATTTTCAAGGTCGTTGATAGACATGTCTATAATTTCCCATGTGAAAGTCAAGACATTGGACCCATAGGAAATTGCTTTATCCCTTGTCACTTTTTATTTAATTTATATTTATATTTTTTTCATCTGCTTTTCATACTCTAGCGCTAGGGAGGCAATCAGGCTCGTCGACTCGGATCGCTATGACTTGGCTAAAAAAAAGCTCGAGCCCGTCCGGCTCGAGAGAATTGAGTTGAGGCTTGGGCCGAGTCTCATTTCGTGGCAAAATATGACAAGGCGGGAAAATCTCGTTAAGATGAGATTCATACAGAGGTTTATATTTGTGAAGTCCATCTGCATTTCACTTTCTCTTCTTCTTCATTATCACTATCACTATCACAATCGAAGCAATTTGGGTAGTAGACTTCTAGGATTAACTCATCTCTCAAATATTTTAGATTTACTTCTCGATCACATTGTCTATATGGCATAAATTTTCTCTATATACGCTTTGCTGTAAATGAGCCAAAGAACATAATTATTTTCAAGGTCGTTGATAGACATGTCTATAATTTCCCATGTGAAAGTCAAGACATTGGACCCATAGGAAATTGCTTTATCCCTTGTCACTTTTTATTTAATTTATATTTATATTTTTTTCATCTGCTTTTCATACTCTAGCGCTAGGGAGGCAATCAGGCTCGTCGACTCGGATCGCTATGACTTGGCTAAAAAAAAGCTCGAGCCCGTCCGGCTCGAGAGAATTGAGTTGAGGCTTGGGCCGAGTCTCATTTTAGGATGCCAGACAAAGCCCGAGTCAGCCCGTGTGGCTTGTCGACTCGGGCTCACGAGCCTATATTTATATTAAAAAAAAATCGAGCCTGCCCGGTTCGATTCGGAAAGGTTCGAGTCGAAAGTTCGGATCAAGCCTAATTTTTTTGCCGAACTTTTGTTCAAACTGGGAAAAAGCTCGATCATTTTATCCGAATTGAGCCCGAGCCTCGAATTTCGGCTCGCAAGTCAGCTCGACTCGTTGGCATTCTTATCTAATGCTAAAGTTAACATTTCTGTGTTGGAATGCAGTAGAGAATTGCAACATTCGATTAAAACGAATGTCACATTTTAAGAAAATGAATGGTGTTGATTGGGTTAAAGTAAATGTATGTGATTTAGCCCCTATTTGTTTTTTTTTTTTTTTAGTAAGAATACATTTTGAAATGGTTAATTGATGAAGAATGTATGGTTAAGAAAATAAGAAAAATGTTTTAATTTTACGTGTAATATTATTTTATTGAAACATGTGTGATTGAAAAGAAAAAGAAAAATGTATTTTGAGAAAAAATAGGTATCTTATTTAGTCCAGTATTATAATAAGATTTCATCAAAAGTAACAACATTTGATATTGCAAAATTTCTGTCGGTAAATTAAAATTATGAAAAAATGTGTTTTTGGTTACAGGAAGGAAATATATATGACTCAAGACTCCGATCGATAAAATTATTTGAAAATAAAATTTTTAAAATTGGGGACTTGAAGCGATTGCCTTGTTTGTCATATTCTCCAAAAGTTGGGCCGACTCTCATAAAACTATGTAATTTGTCGGCAACAGGGCGGGTATGGGACGGGTCGACTATTTTCACTTTCGTCTCATCAGGTACCCCATACTCTCATACACGGTTAAAGCAGAACGGGGCAAGTCTTCTATCCCATTTTATCCCCCCATTTATTTTTATTTTTTACTTTTATTTTTTATGTCCTTTGATGGTAAATAGTGTTGGAAGAATTTTGTGAATAGTAACGCCAAAATAAGTATAATGATGGTTAGGGACAAAGCCGAGGCAAGAGTTGGACTCTTTGTTCTTAAGTCGAATTTGCCCCGCAACGGTGCCTACGGATTTCGGCAATCGACTCCCAAGATACAACGGCTACACTTGTGTTTGTAGCACTCCAAAACACAAGTACAACGAATCAAATTTAGGCTTATGTACTCCAAGGATGAAGGAAAATCAAAATAAATGAAATGATTTTGATTTTAGATAGAAGAGAGGATGAGAGACCTTTTTTTTTTTTTGCATATGAAAATTGTGAGAAATAGGACACCCAAAGGGTCCTATTTATAGACCATGAAAGGGTGTGGACGAAATGGTTGAGGCCAAACCATGCACCCTTTCCAAACAATGCACCT